AGTAACCAACCACTTGCATCACTGTACCATTCTCGAGTAACCAACCACTCTGGAATACTTACCATCTGAGTAACCAACCATCCCTCTGCATCACCTACCATTCCCTGAGTAACCAACCACCTCTGCATTACCCACCATTACCTGAGTAACCAACCACCTCTGCATCACCTACCATTCCCTGAGTAACCAACCACTCTGCGCATTTTACCATTACCTGAGTAACCAACCACTCTTTGATCACCTACCATTCCCTGAGTAACCAACCACTCTGCATCATCTACATTCCCTGAGTAACCAACCACCCCTGCACACTACCATTCTGAGTAACCAACCACTCCTCTGCATCACCTACCATTCCTGAGTAAACAACCACCTCTGCATCACCTACCATTCTGAGTAACCAACCATTCTGACTTCCATTCTGAGACACCCTGCATCACCTACCATTCTGAGTAACCAACCACCTTCTGCATCACTTACCATACCTGAGTAACCAACCACTCTGCATACCATTCCTGAGTAACCAACACCCTACATTTCTGGTCCAACCACTTGCATCACCTACCATTCCCTGGAGTAACCAACCACTCCCCTGCATCACCTACCATTCCTGAGTAACCAACCACTTCTGCATCACCTACCATTACCTGAGTAACCAACCACTCCCCTGCATCACCTACCATTCCCTGAGTAACCAACCACTTCTGCATCACCTACCATTCCCTGAGTAACCAACCACTCCTGCATCACCTACCATTCCCTGAGTAACCAACCACTCCCTGCATCACCCACTATTCCCTGAGTAACCAACCACTCCCCCTGCATCACCTACCATTCCCTGAGTAACCAACCACTCCCCTGCATCACCTACCATTCTGAGTAACCAACCACCTCTGCATCACCTACCATTCTGAGTAACCAACCACTCTGTATCACTCCATTTACCTGAGTAACCAACCACTCCCTGCATCACCTACCATTCCCTGAGTAACCAACCACTTCTGCATCACCTACCATTCTGGATAACAACCACTCCCTGCATCACCTACCATTCTGGTAACCAACCACCGATCACCTACATTACCTGAGTAACCAACCACTCCCCTGCATCACCTACCATTCCTGAGTAACCAACCACTTCTGCATCACCTACCATTCCCTAGTAACCAACCACTCCCTGCATCACCTACCATTCCCTGAGTAACCAACCACCCCCTGCATTACCTACCATGCCTCTGTGTCACCTACCATACCCGTGTCACCTACTACAATGCTTCATTCTTCACCAGCAGTGTTGGTAAGTGTTTTTATGATTAGTAATTACATGTACACATACTGTATATGGGTCAATAATGTTTTATTGTTGTATTTTTGTAGGAGAGGGAAGTGCCTCAATAAGTCAGAATCTGGGATAACTCGGCAAGGCCAGAGCCCCAAATGTGCCGAGTTATCGAGGGTTTACTGTAGATTTGCTGTCACTTTATTAAAAAAAATTTAAATTTGAGTGTATGTAGTTTTAACTTATAATACTGTACACTACATCACCATTCTAAGTATCCCAGTGTCAGTGTTTGCAGATAACTATACAAATTATATTATTTACTTACTCACATTGCAGATAGAGATACGCATACCGGGTAGTTAAATATATAGAGAGTCAAGGAACAGTAGCCCTGTCTGGGAAGTTAAGAAAAAACAAGAAGGTGCCAATCGTTGTCACTATGGATTTTATTTACCTATTTTAATATATACGTAGTATTCTCAATTACGGGTCAATTGAATTGAACCCAGATACCGAGGAAAGTGAAACCGGTAGTGAACAACAGAACATATGGGATTAATTCCAAAGAGACTGGCCCGACCCCAAACCCACTTTTTCTGACACAATACCTATGTTGTAGTAAAATAACATCTTAATTTTATGATGGTATGCAATACAAGTTAATATTTAAGAGAAAACACTTTGAGGTTAATGTCCATTCAAATAATGGACTCAACTCCTAGCTCACTTGCTGAGAAATGTTTGGGTGAAAATACTTAGACTTTAAATGCTAGTAATAAATAATACTCAGACTAAAGTTAGGATAATATAATTGACATTTCTGGATTCATTGCAGGTCAGGAATATTTTGAATGTAACTTATATATTTTGTGCCAAAAGATAAAATATTTGCTTTGTGTAAACCAAATTACATATTAGATCTAAAATTTGTATGTCTAATGCAAAATCCAAGATGTTTATATTCAAATGATCATCATATTGTAATAATTCCAGCAATGTAAATTATATTTCGGCGAGTATTTGTATGAATTTTATGAGCTAAAACAAATATCTTCAATTAATAAAAAAATATAAATTCTTCAAGACACTATCTATCAATCAAAATACCCCACCTTGCCTCTCCTCCACACCACGCCAGCTGGACCGGTCGGTCCCAACGCTCCCCCCCCACCTTCCCTCCTTACCAGAGAAATGTTTGGGTGAAAACACTAGATTTTAAGTATAATAATAAATAATACCTCAGACTAAAGTTAGGATAATATAATTGACATTTCTGGATTCCTTGCAGGTCAGGGGAATATTTTGAATGTAACTTCATATATTTTGCACTAAAAGATAAAATATTTTGTAAACCAAATTATTACATTAGATCTAAAATTTGTATGTCTAATTAAATCCATGATGTTTATATTCAAAATGATCATCATATTGTAAGAATTCCAACAAATAAAATTTTATTCTGGCATTTTTTATGAATTTTATAAGCTAAAACAAATATCTTCAGTAAATAAACAAAGAAATATTCTTCAAGGACACTATCTGTCAATCAAAACACCACCTCCGGCCTAGCTGTCCTCCTCCCTCCCTCCCTCCCCCACCTTCCTCCCTACCAGAGGAAATGTTTGGGTTATAAATAGTATATTTACATTTTTAGTAATATATTACTTCAGACTAAAGTTAGATAATATAATTTACATTTCTGGATTCCTTGCAGGTCAGGGAATATTTTAATGTAAGGTAAACTCCGCTTGGTTTACCTTGTGAAGTTTTTATATACTGGTTGTAAATGGGATGCTTTTCATGCCATTAGTAATTTCCAAAACATTACTGTTTTTCACACCATTCACAGCTGGCCAAGCCCCTGCAAGCTTCTGTGGTGGATAGTGATACAATTGATACAAGTGATACAGGTGAGGCCAATGATTCTGCCCTCTGCCTCGAACCAACCCCCATCCCTGTGCCCAGCCATCTTTTCTACTAATGTAAGTGTTATATAGGTACTGTACCTATTATTATTGATATTTTAATTATTAATTGTGTGCATACCATCATAAATTAAGTTATTTTTACTAGACGAGGTATTGTGTCTGAAAAAGTGAGGTTTGGGGGTCGTCCGTCCCTATTTCAATTAATCCCATATGTTGTTGTTCACTTACGCTTTTTCACTTGACGCTTGGCCGTGGGAAGGGTTCCCTCATCTGTATCACTTGTATCAATTGTATCACTAGCCACCACAGAGGCTTGCAGGCCCCTTTGTCAACCCTCAAAGTCCATATAAGTCCATATCCTCACTATCATTATCACTATCACTGACTTGGGCCGGCTGTGGTGGGTGAAGAACTGCAATGTTTTTGATGACTGGCACCTTAGGCGCATGTCGCGCTAATTCCGTAACAGAAAGGGTACATATTAATCATGAAAGTATATATATATATATATATATATATATATATATATATATATATATATATATATATATATATATATATATATATATATTGTATTTTAGTTGTATTCCTGGATGATTACAAGCTAGCTAGTGCTTTTTCCTTGTTATCAGCATATAATATACAGACCTACAGTGATTTATATATATATATATATATATATATATATATATATATATATATATATATATATATATATATATATATATATATATATATATATATATATATATATATATATATATATATATATATATATATATATATATATATATATATTTGGGGATTTAGAGAATTTATTACTTTATAATGTTTAATTAACCGGATACCAAATGAACCTAAATAATATGGGAATTATGGTGAAATTACCTGATGTTGTATTAAAGGGACCACATTGTCACGAAGGGGGGGGGCAGCTCAGTCCACCACCCAACTGCTTACCTTGCACTTCTCCCACATATAATTCACTTCCCACTCTTCATTTTCCTTATTTTATAGTTTTACATTATAGATTCATTTAAGTCACATTGAGTATTGAAATGATATTTTCACAATTTGTATCATTTCTTATGTAAATATTTGACCAAATTTATAAAAGGAGGTGGTAACAGAAGTACAGTACAGCTCAGTACAGTACCCACAAATTTAAGGAAGTGAATTTTTATTTTGCAACTCCACTGTACTATGTTTCTGATGTTTGTTTACAAATTAGCAGCCTAAATTAAATATCTACATTTAATTTTTTCCCTATAGTATCTCCCAATATTTATCTAAGACCACTGTGCAAATACAAATTGAGAGACTACTGTATACAGTTTATGTTTGCTTTCCCTAAAATCAAAGAACAAGGCACAAAATATTTCTTAATGGAATTGTACCTGAACTTGAGTGTAATTTTTTTTAATAATCTGGAGTTGAAACAACCATGCTTGTAGCATAGTGTTGACTAATGTTTTAAGCAATAAAATGAGGAATCCACAAATACTTTACTCCCCTGCTGCCAGATATCTTTTTTTTTAAAGAAATATCACTGCCAGATATGGAAACTTTATAGTTTTGCTTTAATAAAGAAAGAAAAGGGTCCCATAGGCAGGACTGCCCATTTGCCTTGATAAGAAATATAAAGAAGTAGTTACCAATTTCATATTTTACTAAAAAATTGATGCTCCTTAGGAAAGCAGCTTGGAAACAAAATACACATCCAAAATGTTTAGCCTGAATCTCACACATCACTAATTGTTTCTCCCTTGGTCATAATACATGAAATTGACAAACCTTGTACTTTGTGAAATGAAGAAGGGACTGGGTGTGAAGGACAGCATCTTCTGTATTCAAAATGAGTCTCTCACACAGCTCACAGAAGAGGACTTAGGAATGTAGATATTCTACCCCTAGAAGTACATTTACAGACATCCATTAATGAATTTCATATATTCTGATGCCATTAAATAAATACTGTAGTATATGATACCACACACATGTCATGAAAGGATTATATAAAAAGTTTATATTTGACGTATGGGACAAATGTTAGGTAACAAATGACTAATACTGTACTGTATGAAGAAGGATCTTAATAATAATTCTAAAAATACTATAATATCCAAAATATCATATTATCTTTGGGGGCCATTTAACATCTATGAAATCAGATAAAACACTGAGAGGAAGAAACTAAATGCTCTGGCACTAAGTGATTACTGATTGTAACATAATCAGAGAGAGACATTTATGAATTATCTTTAACAAAGAAGAAATAAAAATTAATGATTGCCCAGGTGTTAAAATTAAGAGTACAGTACCCACTCACTTTGTCTGCATCATAGTACATTACACACAGTTTTGTACAATTGTACCATTATCTTGAAATTTCTCTATAAAGTTTGAGAATCTTGTGAAGTTTCTAAAGATATTAGGTTTTCTGCCTTCAAGAATTTCACAAGTATGAAATACCATTTTGTAGCCAAATGGGACAGACAAGTGACCTGTGAGACTTGTTCAGCAGAACACTTAGGTGAAACCTTCTTTATCCAGGAGGATGTTTATGCCCATAGAGCAGGGACCCTGATCTGTTGAATAAATGTAAACGAAGATTTTCTAAAAAATTTCTGGATATGCACATGGTGCAATCTTTCGAAATTCATTCCCATCTCTGGAATAAAGATGTTTCTCCAGAAATTTCTCAGGCTAAAAAAAAAAAAAAAAAAAAAAAAAAACAGCTATTGGGAGTTCCGAGGGTCGGATGAGGAGATTATTGCACAGTACAGTACATTGTACATGAATGCCTAAAGTCATTCAAAATATTATTAGTGGTATTCTTTGATAAACTTTTGTCTAAGAACATCAAACGAGAAAGGACTTTCTATAGTCAGAAGTACCAACCTATCCGATACATCAACATAAACAAGAAGGTATATAGGTATCAGTCACAAAACACTAGCCATCCCATAACCAAAGTGCATTTGCGTATATGCGACCGTGTGGCAGAAGCAGAGTCGTCCCGAGGGTATGGCAACCGGTGCGACCGCACCGGGCCCCGCGCTAGTGGGGGTCCCGCGGCCCTTACCTCACCCAACAACAGAATCAGTGACCAGGTTAGGCTGACCTCACCTTACCACCCAGATTCAGGAGACCACCTGAAGGATTAGTGACCAGCACAGTTAGGCAATGCATCTGCTGACATGAGGTCTAAGGTAAGATTAAGCCACCCCATCTTACCACCCGGAGTGAGAACAATGTCATTCTTTACTGTGCTCTATGTCGAAGAGGAGTGAAGACGCTGACAGCGGTCACCTGTTAGTGTTGTCTAAACTCTGAATCTCCAGTTGTCTGTGATTTGTGTTTTGTGAAATTGTTGATATACATTATTTTACTGTAGTACACAACCCTCATTTTTTATTATACCATGGCCAGCAGGGATAGAGATAGAGACAGAACATACATCTTGGGTGCAGAGAAAAGGCAAAAGAAAAGGAAAAGAAAAGAAATCGAAATGTCAATGAAAGGTTCCCTAGAAAAATGTGTGTTTTCAGAAACACCAGAAACTAGTGCAAAAAAGGACCTGAGCGACTGTGATGGTGATAGTGTGGGTCATGTTCAAGCTGAGGAAGAGGAGAGTACTGAAAAAATACTAAGGCTGTTAAAATGGACAGCTCTACCCATGTTAACGGTCATTATGATGAAGATCTATGTGATCCAGCCAACTGGCCACATTTACTGGACACTATGACAATTGATATTTTGGTAGAAAGGGACCTGTTATGATATCTCTTGAGAATTATGTGTTTCCCAAAAATGGTGAAAACCGACACTTTTCAGAAGACTTTTACATGCGAAGATTGACAAATGGGGAAATACAGTGGTCCCTCGGTTAACGAACGGTTCGGTTAATAAATTTACCTTCCATAATGAAATCCTTACGAACATCACGTTTTGTTGTGGGCATCAGCTGATCAGCTGATGCACTAGTCTGCCAATTCAGTAATCTGTTCTATGTTTACATTAGTTTCCAGTGGAGAAAATATCAATAAAGTTGTGCTCTTTAATATTTCTGCATTTTTATATTAAAATTATTAGTCATTTCAACATCTATTTAACATATTGATAATATATGCAGTACAATACAGGGAACTAGTTTGTTGTGCGCCCATCAGCAGCTTGACTCAGCCACAAGGCGTCAGTTGGGCTTTGAAAACAGTTGAGTGAACATCTATTTTGTAGGAGTCTTCAATATTTTTGCATTTTTCATTGAAATTATTGGTCATTCTGAAAATTAGTTAACATATTGATAATATATAGTGCAGGGCAGCGTTAATTTAAATAAAATAATCTTGAATTACACCTTGTGAACTTAAAATTTTATTGGTTAAATGACAGCATCAAGCATGGGTCCCCTAAAAGGTGATTTCTCCTCCATCCTCACTTCCTTCTCTTTTCCCTTCTCCTCGACCCCCACTTCTATTTCCCATCATCAACCAGGAACCTTCTACATACACACATCAAAGTAAGTGTACTTTACTGCATTTTTTTTTACTTTGTATGTACTTTTCTGTGAGCTGGAACCAATTACCCAATATCCCATTGAAACAATGGATTCGGTTAACGAACAACCTTCTGGAACGAACTGTGTTCGTTAACCGAGGGACCACTGTATAAGAAAGATGTTGTAGTGGATATTCTCCCCTACAACTGTTGCTGACCAGCCAATCCTACGGCAAGTTTCTCAGCAAAGCCTAGCTGTCTGACTGCGCGGTGGTCGGCCAGCAGCGACGTTCACTTCCGGCGGACTTGTGTATATATACCTCCAGCCTCGCTGTGAAGAGGATTCTACTCAGCGCTCTCAAACAGACAAGACCTCCTCTCAACAAGCTACTCACCACACAGCAACTCCCTAACACTGCATTGTGTGTGTGTGTGTATATGTATGTATATATACACACAGTCATGCGCCGGTTAACGTCCAACCGAACAACGTCCGATCACATATACGTCTGTGACCCCCCCCCCAAAAGCACTTCCGTGACGCCTGCTGGACCACCACTCCACGACCCCCTGACGGAGACACGATGATCCTTCCCAAACTGGCTTTAGTAAGCATTTGCCTCCAGGTGTAATATTAACCTACATCTATTGAGGATAAAATCTTTTACCTACAAATTGACAATAACACATTTGCTGTAATCAGACATATCTAGTTGCCTCAACAATTGCAACCCCAGCTGCAATTGGGGTTGCATTTTCAAATTCTATGTCATTACTAAGGAATAACGAAGTCTCTGGTGAACTGCACTCTAAGATTAAGAGAAAACGGACTCAGGCGTCCTGAAGAGAGAGAAAACGTACTGCTATGATGGGGGACACAAGCACTCACACGTGCCACTCATACTGACAGACTTGACATTCACTTGACAAGTTTTACCAACCATTAGTTGTGTACGTTATCTAGTGAATTTAGTCAATATTGTTCAGTACAAGTACACTGCAATACAGTGGTCCCTCGGTTAACAATGGACCTGCGTGCAAACCTGTACATTTACTAAATGATTACGGTACTTAAATTGTTATGTCTATTGCAAATATAGATTGTTTATACAGGTATTCAAATAAATCACTATCTTACAAGAATCCCAGCAATGTAAGTTATATTCACCCAGGTCATTTGGGTGGCAAATTATGAGAAGAGCTTAGTCACTCTTAAGTAATGATAAATAAACACGCAGGCCTTCAGCGCCAACTGTCAAATCTTATCTCAAATAAATAAACAAACACCAAACATCATGTCACCTCACCCCCCCCTCCCCCCTCTTCCCACTTTATGCTTTAAGGTGTTTATTTTATATAATATCTCAGACTAAAGTTAGGAGACTATAATTTGCAATGCTGGAATCCTTGCAAGACAGCCAATAATTTGAACATAAATGTCATATATTTTGCTCAAGATATAAAAATTGTAGTACAGTACATTAGTGTACAATACTGTAGTACATTTTATACTAAAAAGTTTTCAACTGTATTTTTGGGTAGATTTACATAAATTTTTTCATTTATTTTCATCCATTTACATGCACACACCATACTAAAAGAAATGTAAAAGAAATAAATGACCTCAGTGCAAAGCTGGAGTGTACATGTACTAATTTGATTACGGTACTAAAATTGTTATGTCTAGTGCAAAATACAGCATGTTTATATTCAAATTAATCAGTACAGGTTGTACCTCTCTAGTCCGGCAACCTCGGGACCTGACTGGAGCCGGACCATGGAAATTAACCCTTTTCCTGGATAGATAGTGACTTGTGCTTATGCTTGGAAGCACTAGCACCACTTTCTCTGCATCATGGTCTCTTTGGGAACTTATATTGAAGGCACCACTTTCTCTGCATCATGGTCTCTTTGAAGACATATTGAAGGGCACCACTTTCTCTGCATCATGGTCTCTTTGAAGACATATTGAAGGGTTAAATGTAGTATAGTAGCTTTTCAAATTTCGCGAGTTTTTAATTCAACGTATTTTATTGGAACACAAAAAAATAAATAAATAAATAAAAACTTATTTACTGTTCTCATATATATATTTTTAATTAATGTTTCTAGTTGTTTTATTGAATTAATGTTTGTGTGTGCAAAATTAACAATACAATTTATTAATAATGAGGAGACGAGACGGCTGCCGGCATTGTTTATGTTAAAGCTTACAAAACCAGTGACTGATTGGTTCTACTGTACATATAAAACTGAAGAAAATAAGACCCTGATTGTAGCTGTAGTAAAATTAATGTAAAAAAAATTAATATGGTTGTTTGAAGTACCTGTAATGTTATTTAATGTTAATAAATGGAACAATATAAGTAGCAAACCATTAATGGTAAAAAAAAAAAGTGAGACTGCGCGT